TAGTATTATATTACAGAATATATACAAATTTTTGTAAGTTTTTTTTTGTGGTATATCTACAAGATATTATTGTATTTGTTACATTGTTGTAATAGGGTTAAAAACTAACCTAATAACTTAATAAATAGAATTAATTAATAAAATTAAATATGTTGGCCGTCATGTCTTCGAAATCAAGTAGAAATCAATCAAGTAGAAAATTATTTACAAATTGAATTTAAGAAAAATGTTATTAAAAAATCAATAATTCTTAACAAATATACATTTAATTGGAAAATATATTATTTAAATTGTCATTTTCTCAATTTTCCTGGATTATGAAGAACAGATCCGCACTTCGCAGGCAATTACTTAAAAATGAATCAAATTCACAAACAGAAACTCTGATTAAATTCTAATTTTGGTAACAAGTCCTTTGCATAGAAATCTCTTGTGCTGCTTTTGGTTTGCCTTTACTGGCTTGCGGATATCAGCGCTGGGGCAGAGCTCACACTTAAAGCCATTTAGCAAATTATGTGCGACTTCCTTTAACCCTTAAGTAAAGCAGCAGCACAAAGAAGACGCCAAGGCAATGGCAATGCTAAAGCCAAGACGAAGGCAGCGGCCAAATGGGAGGAACATTTTTTGGCAAGCATTTTCAATTCAATCAAACGCCCACTAAGAGAAATGCAAATACCCAAAAGACAGACACACAAAACACACACAACACACTCACACAGACAGACGCATACACACATAGACACGCGCGCTCACACATGTTGGCATTTAAATAAAAATAAACATGCCAAATGGTTAGAAATACTTTGAAACACTTTTAAGCATCATTACATTAGCAAATTTTTCTCTACGCTATGCAGAAAAGCAACAAAAAGGGGCAGGGAGGGGGCGGGGTGGTGTGGTGTTGTGTGTAAGAAGTGGTGTGTTAGAGGGGCGGCGTGAGAAGCTTTAGCAGCAGCGTAATATACAAAAGGAAAATGTGAGCTAAAGAGATTTTTGGGCAAAAATTGTGGGCGTGACTCCAGCCACTTCTTTGCAATTTTATTACATTTGAGAACGGTCCGTATGTGTGTGTGTGTATGTGTGGTGTGCGTGGAAGTGTGAGTGGGCGTGTCCAGCCATTACGCCGTCGGACTAAAGCACACATTATAGCCACCTTTCTCTCTTTTCGCTTTTTCGCTAACGCCAACTTTCGTAGCATTTTCTAATTTACATTTAACACAAATGTAATTATTGACAAAAGGCAAAACGCTCTGACAACATATGCAGCACCACCATGGCCATGGTGGTGCACCCGACCGGCCAGCACCACAAACGTCGGTTTCTATGTAATTGTCGTTATAATAAATAACTTCAACTGTCCAACACTTGACACTTGACATCAACTGCAACGGAAGCGAACACACAAAAAACTACCAGAATGAACGAATATCAATTGGTAAACCCTTTGCATATACCCTGGAAAAGATAAATAGCTGGAAGATTGACAGTAAGCTGTCGTTAATGCTTTATATATTCATTTATGAGAACTTGTATAATTTAAGCTATATTAATATATTATTATTATATGTACTTGATATATAGTAATTAATAAATATAGTTAAAATTGTTTAATGTAAAAATAGAAGCAAACAATAATTCAAAATATATCGCATATAAATTTATTTGAATCATTTTATGACACCAAAAAGTAAAAAATAAAAATTAGGTTAAATTAATTATTAATAAAATTATAAAAATATTTCAACTTAAAATATGTTCTGGAATATCTGTAAAAAGAATAAAAGCCTGAAATTATTTTATTTTTTTTTATTTTTATAAATATGACTTAATTGTTTAATCTTTACTTATTTAAACACGCTGGTAAGCTAGAAAATTCTCAAATTATTAAGACATACATAATTTAAAAATATATACATATTTATGATACTCATAATTTAATTGAATATATTTTTTTTAATCTCTTATGAAAAAAAAAAAAAAAAAAAAAAAATTAAAGTAAATACAAAATAAGTTAAGCAAAATTATTTTTATTAATATAACTTAGTTTACATTTATTTATAAAATTTGAAGCAAAATATAATAACCTGTTCATAAATAAACAATCATTTAATTTCAATAGAAAAAAAAACTAATTTGTAATCCTCTTTATAACATAATACATAATTTATACCTCTTTATGGTACATAATTTATATAAATAAATTTATGTTTTTGAGAAGCTTGCTCTTTTCTATACCTGTAGCTTATCCGCCTCCAACATGCATGCTTATTTTCTCGCTGGCTTAAGATAGGGTATTAGACCGCCAAACTCAACTGGACTGGCCTCAACCGCATGCAAAGCGCCAGAAAAACAGCGTCGCATATTTCAAACGGGACACATGTAAAAATGCTGAAGCGCTGATAAGGACATTAACATTTGCACAAACACATGATAGAGCTGTGGAGAGAACTAATGGGGAATACTTTGGCTCCATTCTCTCTCTCTCTCTTTTCGACTCCCACTCTTTTTCTGTTTCTGGAAACTTTGAATTCGTATGCGGTACATCAGAGAAAAATAAAAAACTTTACCGCGTCGCTTTTGACACGCAAATTTATAACAGCAGAAACTTGTTGTGGTGCCAACAGCGGAAAAAAAAAAAAAACACAAAAGCCCCACCGAACCACACGAAATAATAAAAATAAAATACAAATACGTGAAATGGAAGTGGAAAATATAGGTATAAATAAGAAGGTAGCAAATTTTTGAACGCATACAAATGCAATTTAAATTTACTTATTTAGAAGCCCACGGGAATTCCAAATTATTTGCCTTTTCACGCAAATTTAGCGACCATTTTTCTCTAAAGGGAGGCAGGTCTCCCTTTTTTTTCGTTAGACAGGTGGGCACCAAATTGTTTGAGTTTACATAGTTAAAGCACGGACGCGAGTTGGAGAGGCGTGGCACCCTCTGACATGTGCTGCACAAGTTTTTCGGCTGAGTTTTTGGACGATTAGAAAATGCTTGAGAGCCAAAGTAAAACCAAAAGGCTCTGACAAATGCCCAGACTGGCAATTGTTAATGTTGTTGTTGTTGTTACTGTTGTTGCTGTTGCTCCTGTGGTGATTAATGACGTCGAATGCTGTATAAGCAGACGGCGGGGTCTTGGCAGCTTAATTTAAAATGAAAATTGTACTTAATTTCTAGCGTAGCTTAGCAGGCGAGCTAGCTCGCCGGGCCAGAGGCTGAGGGGAGGAGCAGCATAGACAGCTGCTGTTTGTTTAACAAGCGAGACAGAGAGAGTCTGGGAGCGGGTAGGATGGGGAGGGAGAGAGTGAGAGCTTATAGAAAAGCCATTCGGTAACTCGCCTGCCTTTGAGCAGAGCTCTTTCATTTTCTAGCTGGGCTTCGAACCCTAAGTCTATTCACAGCGCTTTGCGCATAATTCAAGCATTAGGCACATAGTACATCATTTAGTGTATTAAATACAAAATATGAGATTATTAGGCCTAGTTTCTAAATAAGAAGGCTTATTTCAGGAATTTATGAAGTTATAATAATATTAGTAAATCTATAGCGGATTTTGTTTTAAACTTAACTGGCAATATTTCTGTACTACTTACAATAAACATATCACAACAATAACAAAAAAAATAAATAAATAATAATAATATAACAATAATAATAATAATAAAAGCATATT